GATACCTACACCAATTATCCGAGGACAATCTCAGTGTTCTTGGTATGCAAAAAATACAGATGAATCGAGTTCCGGGCCAAATATTCAGCGGAAACTCCGTGAGATGTATTAATGCCGACAAGGAGCAAGGGTTCAAAAAACCAGAGAACCCAATAACCAAATATCCTTACCGTTTTCAGCATATCGTAGACGATACGATCGCTCACGAACGAATCATGGCCATATTCCGGATGTTCACCGATGAATGCCCTCATCCATGTTGCCAGCGTTTGTAATTCACCGGAGGCTCGTTTCTGTAGAAAAAAAAACTTGTGACCACAATAATCGTCGGTATGCCTGGTGTAGTAGTGGTGGGAGATGTTCATTTTTAGGTTCAGGATATAAGCCCGAACATTTTAAGCTCAAACAGTAAAAAAAAGCCAATCCTTCAGCATTTCAATAACAGAATAGATTGGTACTGGCGTCCGTGGCGTACCAAGAACCAGAATTTACTTCTTCTCTTTAAGCAACTCTCAAAAAAGTGAACCGTCGGCAGTAGGATGTCGTTATTTACTTGATCATTAAGCAATTCTTGGAATATGAGGTGCTTTGCGCCCTTATCACCAAAACCGATGGCAAAGATTCTATCAAGCTAATCCAGCAAATCTAAGGCAGCTTGGAATACAATGTTTTAAGTTACCATAAAAAATAGTAGAAAAAGTCAAACTTGGCTCTATTCGTCCACCTATTCGGCCAGAATCAATACCAACCTGTATAAAACTTAAATACTGCGACACGGTACAACGCGTATCTACATCAACATCAGCACCATCCAAATATTGCCGTATTAGTGGTACCAATCCGGGAAAATCGTCGTCAGCTTTGCCTGAAAGCAAACGAAAATGCACATTTGAAGTATTCAGACTAAAAAATTCCCGTAAAAAAATTATAGTTAATCAAAAAAATTGTGAAGAATTAGGAAAAGGGAAAAAATCTGTTGCTTATTGACAGTTACAGGACAACAAATCCCAAAAATGTAAAGAAATTCGTAAAAAAAAGTGAACATTTCAAGTATTCAGATTAATAAAGTCTCGTAAAAAAAATCCCAGATAATCCAATAATGTCGCGTGACAAGGAAAGGGAAAAAAATTCGTTGTTTTTTGACAGTTGTGAGACAAAAAATCGAAAATGTACAGAAAACTCGTAAAAAAGCTAGAGTACTTATCGAGCCAAAAATCACCTAAGAAATTTGAAATATTGTAGCGAAAAACGTACGAACCGTTAATAATTTCGTTTATAGTCATTTCAACAATTCCATCCGATGATTCTGCCTTAGCATTTTTGCATAACTGTGGTGTTTTGCATGTTGAGATTCCTTTTCGAAACAGTAATTTCTGCTCCATAATGGCATTTCTACGCTGCGCACGCTTCATATTTTCCGTTACGGCCGAAATTGGAAGAAGGATGCTCAGGCGAAACGATACGATCACTCTGAAAACAACGAATTATTGAAAAAACACAATCGCACCGAGCAAAGCCATGTGATTCTCTTTAATTATAAGTTATTCAATTATAGCACACAGATCCTGTTTTTACTACATACGCATAGGCAAAAATTACTCGGATAATCCCCTCCTCTCCGAAAGTCATCAAGGAATTGTACAGTTTTGTCGTTACAATCACAGCAAATATAGAAATAGAAGAATAGAAGAATTTCACTTGAATGCCATATGTATGAGAAGACATTTTATGACGCAGTCTCTGTGTTTCGTCCCTTAGCTGTAAAACAAAAATCTAACTACAGCACTGATTGTCCGGGAAGTCTACGTATTGCAGATACGTATGAAAAATCGGCGAGAATAATAGAAAAGAATATAAGGGATCAGGCTAAGCATCATGTGTACGAAGACATTATTAGATGTACTTTGTGTTTCATCCCTTAGCTGTAAACACTGATCGATAAGTGGAAAAAATGTGCACTGCACATGGTAGCAGCATTAGATTGTACAGAGTGGTATATATATCATGTGAATGGCATATAGATAGATTTAGGTGCTTCTATTGCTGTATGGAGCACGAGGGCCGGTAGTGTAATGAATAACACGTCACGATTCGAATTGATCTGAAGGTTGAGAAACGACAGATTCCCTACTGATCCATACTGATTTCCAGAAGTAGTCTCTAATCGTGATACTTGGTATGTGAAGAAAGAATAGCAAA